AACTGGAGTTTTTACACCTCTTAAGACGCAATCGGTCTTGTATTTTCCTCTCTTAAAGACATTTTAATTTTTGTTGAATCATTTCAGGAATGGATCAAACACAAAGGGATACTTTCAATGGACATTCCTCGATTGTCTGGAGATACTGGATGGTTACGGAACATCTTTTGGTCTTTACTACGTCGATTTGGATGACAAATACTTAAAGAGATCTCGAAAGCTTTCCGCACTTTGGTACTCCAATTTCTTGAAGGGGAAGAATATCACCACCCTCGGTTCTATTACTCCACTTATTAGTGATGATCTCGTGCTAAATCACTAACTTCAATTTTCCTAGAAACACGGATTTATTCAATCTTCGTGCAGAATATTCTGTCTTGTATATGCTACATCGGGTACCATATATCCATAATCAGTTAAAAATTGGATTCAAAACAACGAAAAAACTGCATTCATTTTCCATTTTCTTCAACATACACGCCATCGTAGTTTTACGAGAAGCTCAAAAACACTGATTCCAATTTCAAACGCCACTAAAAAAAATTATACACGACACAAAGGTTTAAGAATATTTACCTGTTCCGATCAAGCAACAAACTTGTCTTCGTCCAATCCAGGCACGACAACATCTTCTCTCATCATAGCCCGATAATCTTCTCCCACTGTAGCTCCAGCTTGTGCAAACAGTTCAACCAACGCAGGCAACTTCCCGTAGTACCTCTTCAAAGCATCTATAAGAAAAGAATCATTTTTATTTCGGACATGCCAAACATAAACGGGAGGAAAAAGATCATCGATTGTTGCTTCTTGCCAACCGTGCTGGCCGCCCCTCATTTGATGCTTGAATGCCTGACATTGCCTCACCCTGTGCCCTTTGGGCCCCACTTGCACCTCACTACAGTACCCACACGTTTGCACTGCGTACTTCTTCATTATTTTTTCGACTCCGATATGCAAGTTTTCGTATGCTTTCATTCCTTGTTCCGCAAAACCTGGTTCAAGGAGTTAAGCATTAGTTTAAAATTAGGGTAAATTACCAAAATCTCCATTAGTTTAATAAAGACAAACCTTTGAGATCATTATATGGCAAGATCAGCGGTTCTTGGTCTTCATTAGACCTTTTCTTCATCTCCCAAAAGCCAGAGGCATTTATACTCTGTCCCGAAAAGTCGTTTTTGGGAAACCTCTTCTCGAAATCAATTATCTTTCCAGCGACACGATAAATGGGGAAATCGCGTCTTCTTGTTGGGTACTCGGGGTTTTCCACGCCTGCCTGAATACATAGTTCAACTAGGGCTGGAATTCGGTCGACTTCTAAACGCTCGTTGTGTGAAACAGCTCTTCCCAATCTATCGTACAGATGAAAAGATTCCACAACTGGTAATATATTATCCATTCCCCCTCTCTCCCATGCATGCTCTTTACTCTTACCTCTCACACTACATGTTTTGATCTCATGTGGTGGATCACCTACATGCACTTCTCTACAAACACTGCAAAAACAATACATGATTAATAAACCGGAAAAAAAAAAGAAAAAAAAGTGAATCAATGCTGATATGGAAATACGCTAAAATCTTCGATCACCTGCAAACGTAAATTGGGATGATTTCGGAAACTCTCGAGACGGAAGATAATAATTGGGTTCTAGCGGCTAAAACATTGTGAGCAATTGGGATTAATTCTTTAACCAATAACCCGTTTTCCGGAGGTTTCAAAGTTGACTCGCTGACCACTCTTCTCTCTTGTTTTTCCAATCTTGATTTGCGCTTGAGCTCATTAATGTCAGTCACCCATGGCTTCTTGTCGGGGTTCTTCTTAAGCTTCCTTGGTGGCTCAACGAGGAAACTTGACCCAGTAGAGTGCAATGCAGGAGCATAGCTTCGTGTGAATATCTGGTGTAGGTGTGACACTGTTCGGGGTCGTCTACAGAACATTAACGCAGTTGGTAGAAACTGATTCAAGTTACTTTCCTCGGTGGGGAATTTTATCGAACAGTTTGCAGGTATAAGGAAATAGATCTCCACTTGCTAAGATACAGCAAAGGGACCAAAACCAACAATGAAGGAATATGGAGAAGATCAAACCTAATCGAACCAATACACTTTAAATTGCAGGGTTTTTTTTTTTTTTTTTTGGCGCTAAGTTAATGATGCTCGAGTGCAAAGAAGAACAAGAGGCTGCCGCCAGTTGATAATTTTCGGTGGCTCAATTGTGATTTGTGAATAAAACATACACCCGTTTGTGGATTTAATTGTTAAAACTAAAACTCTTAATCAAATCCATTTTAGACTTCCTTTACAAAATCAAGCTGTTACGACCACTTTATATTGATTTTTTTATTTATAATTTTCTATTATTAATGATCAATATTTGCTAAATTATTAATTATGATTTATGGGTTCCTTTGTCATAAAAATTAGTAAAATAATAAAGAAAAAAAAAATAATAACAATAAATTGTATTATTATTATTACTTTTAGTATTATTATTATCATTATAAATTGTATTATTATTATTAGTGTTGTTATTATTATTATTATTATTATTATTATTATTATTATTATTATTATTATTATTATTATTATTATTATTATTATTATTATTTTATTTATATTTTTTATTTTTACTTTTATTTTTATTATTATTAATAGTATTATTTTATTATTTTTTATGACAAAGGAACCCATAATTGGCTCCTTCGACCCTACACCCGGTGATAAATACCGAGTGGGTTTCTGCTGCCAGGTGTCTTTTTTTTATTTTTCTAAAATCCCTAAAGGTAAACCCTAGTGAGGAATATATTATAAAATACAAAAAATGACACGTGGCAGTAGAAGACACACCCGGTGTTTATCGCCGGGTGTAGGGTGTAAGAAGTCCCCATAATTAATAATTTAGCAAATATTGATAAATTAATAATAGAAAAAATATTGTAATAAAAAAAATAAAAAAAATAAAAAAAAAATTAATATAAAGTGTCCGTAACAACTTGATTTTGTAAAGGAAGACTTGGACCCAAAATGGATTTGATTAACAATTAAATCCACGTGTCACTGTATAACTAGCATCCGTTTTACACCATAAATCGGACCATCCGTTCTTAATTTATTCTCTTTTTATTTATTTAGGAAGGAAGGAAAGATTCGTACTGTTTGCAATTAGATTCTTAACTGGGTAATATATGAATCTATTGAAAATATATAAATAAATGATTATAACAGGACAAAAAGAAATAAGAAATAAAATACAGTCTCCATTAATATGAAAAAAAGTACATAATGTAATTTGTTTATTTAAGAACAAATAAAGCACGTCACACAGTAAAGATTTCTTGCTTTCACAACTTATAATGCATACACACAACAATACAAAGAGAATCAATCAATCACATACATAGTTCAATTTAACTTGCAAAATGAAGTAGTGGATTTAGATTAGTGCTTGATCTTTGGAGGCTTCTTCACAATCATCACAGAGCAGTGAGCATGATGAGCACAATAATCACTTACACTCCCTAAAACAGCCCTGCAAAACAAAACAAAACAAAATTACGTATAAGTTTCTCACACACCATTAAAAACCGAAAAAAACGACGAAAAAAGTATACCTCTTTATTGCTCCATAACCATGACTACCGACAACCAATACAGAGGCATGGTGCTTTTCGACAGCCTCACATAGTACATTCCTAGGATCACCTTCCACCGCCTCGAATAACACATTATTCACCTGCATAAAAATCGAATACTTGAAAACCATATGATCAAGAAATACTTCTCATTTCCTCGAAAAAGTAAACTTCGTCATTCGAGCCTAAATTGGAGTCAATGAACATGCAGCTATTTGCAGATTGTGAAGATAGTTATCTCTAAGCTTTTGCCCTTACAATCGAAAACCGAAACTCGTAATCGAATGGATCAAACAAACTATGGTTGATAAGTACCTCTGTAGCTGTACAAATTTCTTTGGCCTTGTCCAAAACCCTGGCCGCAATTATCTTCAAATCTCTATCCACATAAGGAATCACCTCAGCAGCCCCTGCAACAGCTACAACTTGTAATTATTAAAATATCCGAGCAATCATTCAGCCAATCAACGACGACCTTTTTGTGCCAGACGATTAATTTCTTGCCAATTGTGAAAAACATAAACATTGTACAGAATTCTGTTTTTAGACTAGATGATTTGGATTTCGAAAAGGATGCATCCTCGCTTCAGTCATTTTTTTACGGAATTTTTAAATCGTACAACGACATAAAAGATAACTCAGAGTGAACTTTGAAAGGTTATAAGCTGGAATTAAATCAAATTTATGCAATCAATTTGGGGAAATGCGGATTAGTACTATTCAATCTTTCTGCATAAATTAATTGAATATATCAATCATCGTTGCATGCAAAAATAAATATACAGCCAACCATAACACTCGCAAAGATATTCAATTCAATTATTTTACCAAAAAAAAAAAAGTAGTTTAGCGGTGGCGGACATACCGGGACCGGCGAGGCCGACGGCGGTGACGGGAGAAGGCTTGGCGTGCACAATCACAAGTTTGAAAAGGGATTTTTCCGGCGAAGGGGTAAAAAAGTGCTGTAGGGTCCACTCCAAAGCGTGGTAGCTGTGAACGCTGTCGTCCATCCCCACCACCATCACCGATTTCTCCATGATTGCAAAAAAGCTGCGAAGTTTTTCAAATTGAAATTGAAATTGAAATTCCGCTGGATTTTGTTTTTCGAATTAAATGGAAATTTTAGACTGATATTGTGTAGATTATTCTAGGGCTTTTTATATCCTTTGTGATTGGCGTTGAAGATGAAAAAGGGGAATTGAAAAATGAAAACTAGTTGTGGAAAGAAGAAACCAGATGCCGAACGCAGAGTGTTTAGCTGCTTGTTTTGTGTTTCGTTTTTTCTTCTTTGCTACTTAATTACTAATTAAAATATCATTATTGATGATCGTGCGGGATTAGTTAACTAATTGAACCAATTAGCCAACGCCACGTTTCACATTTTTTTTGTTTGGGTATCATTTTGCTGACGTCATAATCCAACAAATATTCGGTATGATTTATTTTGTCGTATTCTGGATCATTTTGCTGACGTCATAATATTTCTGGGCCTAATATAAATAAAACCTTGTCCGGTAACTAACTAATAAACCCGGCCCATTTAAGCAAAACAAATTTATGGGCCGGTTAAGGTATTAAACAGCGTGGGTTCAGTCCAGTTAAGTAAATATTAATTTTTGAAAATATTTAATATATTATCTTGACGTAAACAACATCACTGGGGTGAGAAAAAAAACCGAAAAACTGAACCGAAAAATCGAGCCGTTTTAAACCGTACCGAATAGCAAACCGCATGTATGGTTTTTTATTTTTGAAATACCGAATTATTCGGTTCGGTATGGTGGGAAGGTAAATAACCGAACCGAAAAACCAAACCGAACCGAAACTATAAAATGACTTCATTGTATATAATATATGTATTATTTTACCCTAATATTTATTTTCTATCTTTCAATTACTTGTCTCATTCTAAGCATTTGTTCATAAATTGAGACATTGTATTTTATTTATTTAGTAAGTAAAAATTTACTTGAGTTTATGGTTTTAATAATGTGGTAGATGAAAGTAGGGAAAAAAAAATGGAGCGTAATACATCATCTAAATTACGTAAGTCCTATGAAATTAAAGATTTTATATTTTCATTGCATTAGTAAGTTGTGAAAGTAATTGTAATTGTATTTTTTTGTTTGTACAACAACTTGAATATATATTGACACTTGAACCGAAAAATAACCGAAACCGAACCGATAAAAAACCGACATACACGGTTTTTAATTTTACAAAAACCGATATATTCGATTCGGTTCGGTTTTTGGCTAAAACCGAACCGAACCGACCCATGCACATCCCTAGACATCACCTTCCGGTATAAAATACATTTTAAAAGAAATGAAAATTAAATATCTAGAAAATTGAAGTAAACAAATATAAATTGCAATTGAGTAGTCGGCAAATAGACAATTGTTAGTGGCTCCTTTATAGATTTCCACTATCAAGGGCTTTAGTCAATTACTTTAATGGCTCTTCCATTGAGTTCTTCAACTGCCCGTCTAGTCAAATTATGTTATACTAAATGGAATATTAAGGAGAGTTGTGTGCTTATATTAAAAGTATAATGGAATAATGTGTAAGAAATTGAAAATAAAATGGATCGAGTCATGTACTTATATTAAAAGTAGAAGGGAGTCATGTGCATAAAACTCAAACTAAAGGGGTCTAAGTGTTACCAATAATATAATCTACTTGCTTAGAATAAAGCGCATGTATGGCAACCACTTAAATTCTTCTTTCATGGTTTTGAGCCCCAATTGGTATTTTTTCAAAGGAAAAATAGTATACTTAGTCAAGAAGATGATTATTATAAGATTTTGCCCAAATCTAATACACAATTAAAAAAAATGACAACAATGTTAGCGGCCTATTAGGGACAACTTTTGACTTTTGTAACATTGTTCTTATATTCTTTTTCCTTTTGTATTAAAAAATTGACAAGTGTTAAAAAAATTATATCAAAACAATTTGAGAATTTAACATTATGAACTCATACACTCACCGGCCACCACACACATATAATATATATGATAAATTACGAAAAATCCCCGTGTACTTTGTCTAAGTTATGAAAAATACTATCATCTATCCTTGATTACCAAAATCCCAGACATTAGTTTCCACCTTTACATCAATTCCTTAATAGTAAGATTTTTCACGATTTTTTCTAGATTCTATTGAATGTTCCCCGAAAAATACCAATTATACCCCTAATAACAATCTTTGAAACATACGTATACATTCTGCACTTCCTTCATAGCATAAATAGACAATTTTTTAAATATTTGCGGCTACCTTCAATTGGACTTTTTGGAAAATATTCTCTTGAATAAAAAAAAAATCTCATAAAAAATCACACTGCAAAGTGGTCGGTATAAGGTGGAAAAAAATATTGAGGGATTTTGGTATTAGCCAGGGTTTGATGGGGGTATATTTATAATTTAGTCTAAATTTAGGGGGTTTATGTAATTTACCGTCCTAATATGTATAAAATGGATAATTATCCATAGTTGTATAAAACAAGATATTTACACCTGGTCATTACCCGCAAGGGTGGCCTAGCGGTTGGAAGCAAGGGAGCTTGGGTCAATTGACCCAAGTTCGAATCCCCTTGCCAACGGTCGCTAGGTCGAGCTTGTCACACATGGTTAGCCTAGTGTGGTTTAAATCTCTCGTATGGTTTGCAAGCTATTATACGAGAGTGTAGGTTTACCCAGTGCACCTATATGGTTGGCTGCGGGTTCCTGCATTATAAAAAAAAAAAAAAAAAAAAAAAAAAGATATTTACACCTGGTCAGCATCTTAAAAAAAACCAGCTGCCCCTCACTTTTTAGTTTACAGTTGCCGTGAACTTCGCCTGAACATTGAATAAGCAACTGACTTTTTCACGCCTTTTTTTTTATTTAATTTTTTTTTTCTTTTTTGTCTCTTGGTGTACACGTCGCTTATGCTGTCGATTAAGCCGTCGTTATAGTGTACACATCTTCGGATAAATACACGCGCCCACACCCATTTTAAATATAGAAAAAAAAATTAAGTGTTTAAAGAGAGAGAAGTGTTTGATGGTGTAGGGAGAAAACAAAAAATGAAGTTCTGCAAGAAATACGAGGAGTACATGCAGGAACAACAGGGGGATAAAAAATTACCCGGTGTTGGTTTTAAGAAATTAAAAAAAATACTGAAGAGATGCAGAAAACAGCTTGAATCACACATTGATTTTCATAATATTTCTGATGCTGTTCCTCATAATCCTTCCACTTGCCCACAGCACTGCTCAGGTACTTTAATTTATCATCATCCTTTTTTTTTTTTTTTTTTTTGTAATTTTGATTTTCTGCTAATTTTTGGTGTTTGATTCTCAAATTACGTGTCTTAATAGTTAATAGTTTATGGTAAAACAAATTTTGGGTGAAAGATGGCTGATCTTCCTAATTTTAATTGAACAGTACATATAATTCAGAAATGGGAAAAGCTCAAATTAAGTTGGGCAAATTTACATGGAATTAAGGATTAATGATAAGAGTTATTTGTATTTGCAATAGCTTGGATTTATTTTTTTAGGAGTAGTTCATATCTGGATTTGAGTGTTATATATAAATTGTGATGTTCATGATTTTGATTGAATTTATAAATGTGTTATGTAGTTTGCGACGGGACATTTTTCCCGTCGCTTCTTACGGAAATGTCTGAAGTAGTGGGATTCTTCAACGATAGAGCGCAGAAATTGCTTGAGCTCCACTTAGCATCGGGTATGGACAAGTGTATTATCTGGTTGAAAGGAAAATTAAAAGGAAACCATCTTGCACTAATTCAAGAAGGCCGGGACCTTGTTACCTATGCCATTATCAATTCCATCGCAATCCGCAAAATACTCAAGAAATACGACAAGGTATACATTCGGAAACAAAACACTCGAATTCAAAAGCAGCAAATATGAATATATATGTATGTGTGTATTTATTTATTTATCTTATTTTGCAGATTCACTATTCAAAGCAAGGCCAAGCTTTTAAATCGCGTGCGCAGATAATGCATATCGAGATCCTTCAGTCACCGTGGCTGTGTGAACTCGTGGCTTTCCACATGAACTTGAGAGAGTCGAAAGTCAAACTGAGGAACGCTCCTGCGCTTTTAGGGTCTGGGTGTTCCCTCGTATTAAACGATGGCAAACCATCTCTGTCTTGTGATCTTCTTGATTCCGTCAAGATTGATATCGACTTGACCTGTTCTATATGCTTGGTGAGTGCCTCGACTTTTCTCCCCCCCCCATATCCCGTGATTCTGCATCGATCCTTTATTTGGGTGTTTTTGTAAAATTTAATGGATCTTGATTTGATACTTTAATAACTCAAGTGGGCAATATTTTTGGCTTTTTCTCGAGTCAAATATGGCTAATGTGAGAGGAGCACATATCTTCCAAGACTTGGCATCGCTAAGTTTAATTATTCACAATATTTGTGAATCATTCCTCTTTTACAATTGAATATACCTATTTATCATCTATGTATTAATATTGCATATTTATTATATGACTCACGTCACCGGTGGGGTTGCAAATTGAATTGAAGCTTTGATCTTACGGGTATTTCAAAGCAAGCTTGGAACTAGTAATTAATTATGTGTTTCTTTCCTAAGTGTTGCTAGTATCATATGATAGAAGTCGTTATTTAACTTTTCCATTACTATCTATTACCTGCCGAATGACGAGTGTTTTTCATATGATTTTTCCATGGCAAGTAAAATGATACGATTTTTTGTTATCTTTTCTCTTTTTGCAGGAGACGTTTTTCGATCCAGCGTCACTTAGCTGTGGTCACATCTTTTGCTACATGTGTGCATGCAAAGCTGCTTCAGTCTCCATAGTGGACGGGCTTAAGGAAGCAAGCCCCAATCAGAAATGCCCAATTTGCCGAGAGGTGTGATTTCTCAAAAAATCTCGTACTTATTTTTTTTTCTTTTAGTCTCATACTTGATTAGGTTTACTGATTTTGATTCAACATTCCAGGAAAGAGTGTATGAAGGCGCAGTACATTTGGAAGAGCTGCATATTCTATTAAGACGAAGGTAAGCCTGTCTCTAAATTGTTGCTTTCCTTTCAACCTTAAAATGCACATGATGCGTGTCACGCGTTGATTGTCATTAACTTGTCATACATTTGAACAGATGTCCGGAATATTGGGCTGAAAGGCGTAAAGCCGAAAGGTCGGAGAGAGTTAAGCAGACAAAGCAGCATTGGGAATCACAGTACCGCCTGTTCACCGGTATATGACCAGAAAATCAACATTCATTCTCCCCAAGTCTTGCTTCATTTTGTGTGAGTGTGCGCGCGTTCGACAGTTTACAATTTTGCTTGGTTAGTCTTTGGCGATTGAGGAAGATAGATGCATTCATATATGTATGTATGTATGTATGTAATTATGTACATAAATTGTGTTGGTTTTGTAGATGCTACACCTAGTGAAACACACCAGGTAGTTTTCGAACTATGAATTTATACATTTGTATGGTAGGATAGCGTATAACAAACCAAATTGTGTGTTACTCGTGAAGAAACTCCTCGTCGTGTGTATTTAATTTGGCTTTTTACTTGGCCTCTAAATGGGGTTAACTCTAATTTATTGTAAATCCGCATGGCTACATTATATATCTTTTTTCGATTATGTATTAATAAAGAAGTATTGGCTTTTCCCTGAATTCAACTTTTAACTACTCAGACAAGATCAGAACAGAGGTTATTCGACCGGAAATCATAACTATGGGAAAAGTATATCATAAATGTTCAATTACCATTCAACAATGCAATAATCTAACACCGTAATCCTAATAGTACACATTATAAAGATAACACCTGAGCATCAGATACGGCTCAAGTCACGCAGCTATATCATGAGACAGAGAAGAGGGGCACACACACAAAAATATCACAGCATCAAAGCCAGCAGAGTATTCCCTTGTACCCTGGCTCACTTCCAAGAACCGACAATCAACAGGTTTTTATTTTTGTGTGTATGATAGCGCTTGCACAGTTTCTCGAGTGTTGCTATTGAGTGTTGCATCTTGTTCAATTTGGTATCCATGAACATACTCTGCCAAACAGGGAACTTGTCAGGTAAAAATAGATAAACTCCAACAAATAATGAGTAAACCAACAAGTATGCTCGTACTCCTTACATGATAATCATCACCATATTTCTCCACAAGGCGAGAAACATGAAGCCGTTGGATGGTTGTAAGTGGTTGAAGGGGCGTGATCTTGCCATCGGCCCGCTTCTTCCCCAGAGCTGTCTTCAAATCTATTTTTTTCCAAATAAATCATCGTCAATACTTGTATATAGAAGGAAGAAGCATACGCGAAAATTCAATGCTGTTAAATTGCAGAAGTCATTTTTTTTTGTTCGTAATAATATCAATTATTCAACTCTACAGAACTGAAGCATATCTTAGAACCATGCAATGGACAGGAACACATACCACTGATGCACCACTGTGACGAACTGTTCCATGTATTGCAATCAAAAAGGTAATAATTTATATAAAATGCTAGAGAATAAATGGACATTGTCACGACTGTATATAACACCTACATATATGGTTTCAAAAGAAGGGTGGACTCACTATCTGGTAAAGAGGGTAATTACGCTGGCAAGCAACGGAATTTCTTTGTTCATAGGTTTTTTTTGGTGCTTCATCACAAGTCAAGAACTCCATCCCAATGATTTGGACAATAAACTAAACGTGATCCGTTCAACAATGGAGGCAAATCGAAGAATGAAATCACAAGGGAGAGACGAGAGGAAAAATCAAGCAATAGAAACTAAATGTGACACATACAATACTCGATTCGAGCATATGGGCCAATTTTATTCCCCCATGGCAATACATGATCTGATTAAGTACAAGGTATTTTATTCCGTTAATAAATTCCTCAGCTCGGCCTCATGCTATGTTAAAAAAATTGAAACTTTTCAGACTAATCAAGACGTTTACGCATCAATCCAACTACAAGTCCCAGCAATCTTACCAACTTAAAGAACGAATTTTTTTTGTAAAAAAAAAAATCAAGCAATAAGATATAAAAATCAAGGGCTAAAACCGTAAAGGGGACACGCAAAAAAAACCACTGACCATCTTCTTCGAGGTCACTGCCGCTGTCAATGGGCTCGAACTCCGATACGAATTCGTCGGTGGAGGGCGGCATCTGGAGAGCATCACTCTCGACCATGTGAGACGTACGCGCGCGTACGCCGAGAAAATTAGGGTTCGAAACGACGCCGAGTGACTTGTAATTCTCGATGACGCTGGCCTTGTCGTCCCATTTGCAGTGCGGGTCCAACAGAACTTTCAATTTCGGTGGGATAGTGAACGCCGGTTTGAATACGTTAGGGTTTCTCTTCGGCAACGCAACTTGTACCTTCGCCCTTGATCTCTTGTGCTTTCTCCTTGAACCACCCATTGTTGTATTACTCACTGCCCCTCTTTCGCTCGCAGATTAGGTTTTCAAGAAGAGGGGCTAGGGTTTAAGAGAGAGAGAGAGGTTTTTGTTTATTCTTTTCAATTAATTTCTTCCTATTCCCAAGAGTCGCTATTGTGAAAGTAGCGATTTTTCTCTCTGCCGTTCCTTTTAATTTTTCGCTATTTATAATCTTTAAGAAAGAGGGTACAACCACCCCTGAGGTATGGTTAATTTATAAAAAAAACCCTCTTATTTGGATAATTATATCTATTAGCTATGATTTTTTTGTTACACATCCACTTTTGCGGTGTCAAATTCAATATAATCATCTAGATTTCGTGAAATATGCTCTACTTTATACTCGTTTTATGTAAAAACAGTTTCTGATGCACCACAATCCGATATATACAAGCTTAAAAAGACATATTATGATCATCTTGCTTTAAAATGTGGAGTTCGAATCGGATAAAACAGGTACAAAAGTGATAATAATCCATATAATCTCAAAAATTCGACGAAATTTGGAGCGCAAGGGTGTATGTGTAAAAAGATTTATAATTGAGGGGTGGTTGTAATTATCCAAACAAGAGGGGGGTTTTATAATTTGACCATAGCTCGGGGGTGATTGTAATTTACCCTTAAGATATATGATAAAATAATAATTATGGTGAAATTATTTGGATATATGTCATAAATTAAATTATTAAAGTAATTTCACCTAACTTTATATTAAATAAATTTTGGAATTTTTTTTATGGGAAATATATATGTTCAATTTCAATAAATAAATTGCAAGAAAAATAACAAAAAGAAAGACCCTTTATTTTGAAGTTCCCCTAGAGCCATTACAATATATCAACTGCCTTAATATATATAGCAGAATATGTTGATACAGAATTAAGAATATTCATTAATGATACTAAATCTAAACTATCTCAGCGTACAAAATACTTGCTGTATTTATCACAACAATACGATGAACAACCGGTCAAAGTTCGGATGATCGGTTAGCATACTCCTGGACCAACGCTCCAAACAACGAGGGCCTCTCGAGCAAGTGTAATGGTTTGTCGAATTCTTTCGCCTTTCCTGTTCACACATGAAAAAAATACAAATAAAAATTAATATTGATATCTTACATCCTAGCACTCGAAAATAGTGAAATACAAAAAGAAACGAAGCAAAGAAAACGGACCTGCATCGATGACTAGGACTTTATCGCAGTCCATAACAGTAGGTATTCTGTGGGCAATGCTTATAATAGTGCATGCAGCAAAGTCCTCCCTTATAATCTTTTGGATCACACCGTCGGTGTGTGAATCGACGGATGCAGTTGCTTCGTCCATAAATAAAAGTCTGCTTTTCTTCAGCATCACTCTTCCCAAGCATAGAAGCTGCCTCTGCCCCACGCTCCAGTTATCCCCGTTATCCACAACTAATGGGGAAAAAAAAAACGAGCAAGGTAATGATTATAATTTTGAGATCGACAATAGATTATTAGAATTAAGAGAAGATATACATAATACGTACCAGCAGAATCGAGCTTTCCTGGTTTTGCAGTCACGACATCTTTAAGCTGGCATCGTTCCAAACTCTACACAACAAAATAGAAAGAAAAAAGAAATTAAAAAATTAAAATATAATAAGTAAAAAAAAGAAAATTTAATATTAGCTAACCTTCCATATTTGATCATCTGAATAGAGTCCAGTGGGGTCAATGTTGCTTCTCACAGTTCCTTCGAAAAGAACGGGCTCTTGAGGAATGATTCCAAATCGAGACCTGAGATCGTGTAAACCTAATGCCGAAATATCAATGCTATCGATAATTATTTTCCCACCCGACGGCTCCACCAGTCTGAATAGAACTTGGATCAGAGTTGACTTTCCGCCACCTGTTCGCCCGACGACACCAATCTTATCGCCCCCCTTTATACTGAGTGTTATTCCTTTTAGAACTAGCGGCGTATCTGGGCGGTATCTAACCTGTTTAAAAAATAATTCAAATTTTTTTCGTGGTGAAAATGATGATTTTCGCAAATACGAAAAATCGATATAAGAGATTAACTTACTTGCAAGTTTTTGAGCTCGACGTTTCCGTGAGTGGGCCAGTTAAGCGGAGGGAGAAAGTCGTTTTTCCTCCATTCGGCTTCGGATGGTATGACTGTGAACTGTTTAATCCTCTCGACGGAAACCATTTTATTTTCCAAAAAGCAGCTTATGTATACGGCAAAGTACAGCACGGCGTTAAGCGAGAGCCCGTACGAGAGTACTAGCCCCACATTCTCTGGTCGAAAAAAAAAAGGTAATATTATTTTTATTATTATTATAATTCAGTAGCAATAAAACAATTTTACAGCGATAAATATTTCGAGAAAAAAACAAACCTGGTTTGATGATACTGCTGGGGAGAACGATCATAAACATGGCGGAGACGCAGAGAATGAAGCTTCCAATTAGTTCGAGGCGAAATCCGAGCCATTCGTTGGCTCCGTTGTTGTGGAAATCCATGCGTAGATTTGCGTTCACGCGGTTCACGTTCTCCTGGCAAAAACTCTCCTGCTTCCGGAAGCATCTGATGGTCATGACACCTGTTATGCTCTCGGAGAAATGATGTATAACGGGTGCCTTTGTGATTGAATCTAGTCGAGTCAATTCACGTGATGTAGATAGAAAATACCCCTGCAATATATCAAAAGTATGAGACTTACGTGTATCTTAACAAAAAAAAAAAACCGTTGCAATCGAAAAAAAAGTGAGAAGCAAAACATTCGAGTACAAGAAGGATTTTATAAGAAAAATTCCCCTATGATGCATTTTTTTAGCATACAATCCCCTAAATGATGAGTTTTTAGGGGGTAATTTGCTAAAATTGCATCGAAGGGGTTCTTTCGAAATAAACCACAAGAAAAGGGCATACCCTGCACCAGAAATTAAGCCAACCGAGTGGAATAACGAGGATCACGGTTGGCCAAGCATATTGACAAGTGATGATGAGGATGCTCAACAAAGTAATGAACATTGCAACGGTCATACTCGTAAAGAATGGAATCAAAATATCGACGTTCGTCTGGTCACTCGAGGCCTGCACTAGTAGAAAAAAGATCAAATCAACTTCTCCAAAATACAACATTCTTATATGAGTTTATTGCATTTAGCACACAACCCCCTAAATTGCGCGTTTTCTACAATATTTACCCTAGTTAGAATTCTTCCGGAAGGAGTAGTGTCGAAGAACGACATAGGAGCATGAAGAATGCTCCGAAGAATTTGCTTGAAGAAAATTTGAGAAGTCTTCAATCCCATAACCGCCGCCAAAACACTTCTCACGAGAACGAGCACAAGTGCAACTCCCGCCAGCACACCGTACACTCCGATGAATCTGGACGGTCTGAACGAGCTCGCACGTTTCTCGGAAGTTTCGTAAGCCAGCCAATAATCGGCCGACATAAGAGTCCCTTGCCATATAATAGAAAAGAACAAGAAAGCCGCAACTCCAGTCCATCCAAAAGACTCGGTGCAATACATCTTGTAAACTGCAAAGCTCACTTTCCCCTTTTCTCTCTCCTCTTCCTTAACGAGCTTCGAGTCTCCCTTACTATTATTGGGTTCGGACCTTTCTTTAGAATAATTACTTTCGCCGTTTTCTTCGCCGCCTTGTTTGAAAGAGCCTTGTTTTACTAGAGTTTTATCCTCCGTTGTCGTCTCCACGTCGACAAGCTCCATCGACGCTTCGTGTGCGGATACTAAAGCTTTGAAATCAAGACCGGAATCTAGTAAGGTGTCGTACTTGCCCGATTGAACAATGCTGCCTTCCCTCATGACCTGTTTTTTTCAAGAAAGTCAAAGTCAACTAACCATATATTTCGAACGGAACATATATAATTATAGATTTCGTGAAACGTACTAGGATCTGATCAACGTTATGCAAGAAATCGACTTGATGAGTAACGAGTACGATGGTCTTGTCTCTAAGAGCTCCTCTAACACATTCCTGCAAAAGAAACAATTATTATACGATCGGATATATTTTTTATAATAGATTAAAGTATAATATATTAACCTTAAATATTTCGGATCCAGTGTGAGCATCGACGGCACTAAAAACATCATCGAGGAGGTAAATATCGCAATCCTGATAAACGGCTCTTGCGAGCTGAATGCGCTGTTTTTGGCCACCGCTCATATTAATCCCACGCTCCCCGATTTCAGTTTGATCTCCGAATTCCATCATTTCCAAGTCTTTCTCCAAGCAGCAAACCTTAACAGCATCCTCGTATTTAACCTTGTTCATCGGCATACCAAACAGTATATTCTCTTGTATAGTCCCGTTCTGTATCCACGATGTCTGTGCAACGTACGCAGTGCTACCACACACTCTCATCTGTATACATAGAGAAAAACAGTTTTTCTTATTTTATTATTTAACATCGTTTTTTTTCCGGAAACACAGAACATGATGGAAGGTTGTGCTAAGACAGTCAACTGGTATATAAATCAAGAATCAAATAAAAAAATGTATACCTTTCCGGATAATTTGTTCATTTCACCAAGAATTGCAGCCAATAGAGAAGACTTTCCGGAACCCACAGTACCAACAACCGCAGCAAGTTCGCCTTTCTTAATCTCGAAATTCAAATTCTTGACAGCCGCTTCACCGCTCTCATCATCCCAGCTAAAGCTCCCGTTTTTCACCTCCACGGCAATCCCCCCCTCACACCCCTCAACCCTCTCCACCGATTTATCCACCAACTCTTTACTCGTCATAAACTTATCCAACCTCTCGAGAGAAATTATCGCCTGCGACAGCGATATCATGGACTGCGGGAACGTCCTGATCGGCTCCTGCAGGATCTTCAACAGCGAAGTCGTCGTGAAAACCGTACCCACGGTCAACGGGAACCCGAGCAGCAACGCGCTGCCGAAAGTGATCGTCGCGATAAATGGCGGCGTGCTCCACAGCACCACGATGTTCGCCGCCACGGAGTACATAAACTTCGACAGCCACTTGTACTCCGTTTCTCGAAAGGACTGAATCCTGGCATTGAAGTGCTCCTCCCAAGCCTGGAATTTAATCACCCTCATGTAGCTGAGCATTTCGTTCGTGGCCTTCATCCTCGAGTCGCGATTCTTCATGATCTGGAACTGGTACGAGTTGTTCTTCTTCGTACGGATCAAGACGAACAAAACTATCAAGACGAGCCCGAAAAACGACGCGATTGTTGCGGTTCCTAAGAACTGGTACAGAATTACTAACCCCACTACAATCTGTAGTGGCATTAGCCATAAGAAGTGGAGCTGCAGCATCATATCCGATAACTGCTGAGCGTCCACCGCCATGTAATTTACGATCTGGCCTACGCCGTGGTCTTGCCTGGCCGATCCCGATAGCCTCAATCCCTTTTTGTATAAAGAAGTAACGAGCGACGAACGAATGAGCATTCCTAGTTTTTGCGTCTGGAAGTTGAACTGGTGCGAGCTCAAAACCTCGATGAATTTCGCCACTAAGAGAATCATGACGAGGTAGTAGCCCTCGTAGGGGGAGCTCCGATCGCCCGCTGTGAAGCTCACGAACCGCTGGATCAATGTGGGGCCCACGTACATGACGCACAGCCTCGCCACCGCAAGCGACGCGGTGAAGAGGAGCTGACGCCAGAAACATATGACCAGTGTCCTCGCTACGGGGTGCTTCGATTTCTCCTCGGGTTTCGGCCAATTCTTTCTGAAAAGCTCCGACATTCGTTCAGCTTTGTGCTCCGGTGATAGCGAAGGCACGTCCTCGATCTTCAGGGGTGAAGTGTGGCCTTTTCTCAAGAGGGGGTTCATCCAATTCCAAAAGGCTACCGATACAATCGAGGCCGAAGCATATCCCGTCACGTTCGATTTATCCGAATGGGGTTGTTCGTATTTCGTGTCGGAATCGAAGTCTCCTGATACTCGAACACCGGTGGAGCCTTTAACTGCGGCAACGAGAAGAAAAACCGACAGAGGGAACGCAACAACAACCGAAACAACATCATCCAATCTCAAGTGTGAACCGGTTTCTTGAAACGAGATTAAACGTGCAAGCCCGGTACCGAAGAACAGAGCCAACACCACAAAATCGACAGTCCAGAATATTCGGAGAGTCAAAGGATGTAATAAAGCCTTAAATCTCTTCTCGTGAACAATAAGAACAGCTATAACAGTATGAGTAATAGCTTGAAACAACCAGTAAACCCCATCTACAGTCTTCCATGGGGATTCTGAATCAGTTTTAACAAAGGCGAGTATGCATAGCACAGTGGAAAATACAGATAAAATTACAGTGACGATGAGAGTAACCTTAAACCATAGATTTGTTCTGACAAGAACCCTCGTGTTAGAAATCAGGGGAGTGTTGATTTCAGAAACTGAGTGCCGCCTGTTCGAATTAGTGAATCTTGAAAACAGCTTTTTGATGGCGAATGCGAACATAGTAGCCAAGAAAAGAATGTTTACGGAGGTTAAAAGGGCTCTTTGTGGGCAAGGAGAGAGGAGGATGAATCTCAGCCATTGAATAGCGGCGGTGGAAACTGAACCGCCGGATGACTCCGCCGCCGAGGCGGAGCAGGAAAGTGTGGTTATCCAAGATGAAGATGACATTTTTTTTTAATTTTTTTTTTATTCCGAGGTTTCACCAAACTTCATTTCTTTTGCCTGTGGGAAAAAAAAGAGAAGAAAAACTCAGGCCTAAGTATTGCAGAAGCAGATGTGCAAGAAATTTGGAAGTGCACGAATTGTTGTGGCGATAATTAAATGTACGTGTAGCATCGTGGTCGATAAACTAATTAAAATCAAAGATACATAAAAAAAAAAAGAAAAAAGAAAAAAAGAAAAAAAGAAAAAAAAACCCCACTCAAAGTGGGGATTTGTCTGAAGACTTCTGTAGACGATACATAGTAGATGTTTAAAAAATAAATAAAAAATATACCGAAGAGAAAACTCGAATTTAGGACAGGTAAAAAAAAATGAATAATAAAATAAGAAACAGACGATCACCATGCATGTTGATGTAGTGAACATGTGGCACCATGAGAAATTAAATACTGCAACCAACGATGAATAAGAAAATGATGAAAAGGAGCTGCTGCAGAAACAATCAGTGGGAAGAAGATTTCTTTTTTTTTTTTCTTATTTGTTTCTTGAAAAACTCACCGTAAACGATTCATGACTCAGCATAACGACAATAAGAAAGAAATAAGATAATACAATTGCGAACCGGAGAATAAGAAGAAATCTTGTTCACAGAAATCGGTGCGTGTGACTCTGCATTATTTTTATTTTTTTTTTATTTTGTGGGCGAGAAATTCAATATTGGAAGAAATCAAACGGCCCAAAATGAGAGAGAAGGTGTATATTACTATACTATTATTATTTACTTTTCTTTTTTCTTTTTCTTTTTCTTTTTTTCTCCCGCGATATTTAGTTGTAAAGGGTATTTTGGTATTTTTTGTTTTGGACTTTACTTCCTTGTTAAATAAGAAGATAATAACAAAATATAAATTGTAATTCCACGTGTAAGCTAATAAATTCAGGCTAGACAGAAATATGCAATTGTTTGAATTTTAAGCCATTGTTAATTTAAGTAGTTGAATGAGTATATGAAATACTTTTATGCTCATTAAGATAACTAGCCGACAGAAAAAATATACATTAATTAACAATTAATTAAGAATCTTAGAAAATGACAGAAAATATACATAAACTGCAAATATAATACTTTCTCGGTTCACATATTATTGTCATATTAAATAGACCCGGCCCGCCTGATTTTTGGTGTAGGGATTGACCTAATAATAGAAGGTTTATTTCAGTGTATATCATATAAAATTCCTACGTGTATATATTATTTCTATGACACACTCGGTGAAGAATTGAAGATTATATTTACTTGAGTGATTTTTTACAACATATTTTATGCATATTATAAGTTTTTAAAAAGGAAATAAATATACATGATTGTCACTTAATTTTCATAAATAAAATGGTGAATTACGGTAACCTATTTGGTAAAGTCAAATAATGAAAACCCCATCATATTTGGGTAGTTACAATCATCCCCAACTATGAAGTTTTTTACCGTTCAATCTTTATGGTGTCAAATTTAACATAATCTTCTAGATTTCTTAGAAGTTTCTCTAGTTTGTACTTGTGTGCAAAAATACAGTTTCTGATGCACCACACAATATGATATGTACAAGTCAAGAAGCACATTTTATAATCATCTCGTTTCACAATATGGAGCTTGACGGGGGTAAAACGGGTACAAACTGATATTCCACATCATATATAAGATTTCACTAAATTCGACAATATAAAAATGAACTTGTAAAAACATTCATAATCGAGGAGTGATTGTAATTATTCAAACATAAGAGAGGTTTTCGTAATTTGAACTCACCTTAGGGATCCCCGTAATTTACCCTAAGCAAAAAAGTAGGTATGTTGAAAATTATTAGGTGAAGGATAAACATATGTAAGGCAAAATTCAATTTTGTGTAGTTTAATTAGGTAGATGAAAAGGGACGTGTAGTTTGGATACAAACAACATTAATCTTTGTGAAGTTGACAAATCTATGTGTATGATTTAACGAGGGGCTGCCTGGCCCATGGCACCCACGGCTCACCCCATAGCCCCACCTTTTTTTGGGCTCAATTTATTTATTTATTTATTTTGTATGTTAAATTATATTTCATCTAATATTATGATTTTGCAACTCCATAAAAACACACACATATAATCATAATATTTTATGAAAAGAAATTTAACAACTCTCAAATTTAATTAGGTAATTTATTTATTTATAGTTAAATTTACATGTATAGAAATATTTAATTGTATATTTTTAATAGATTATTAAGTCAATAAACATGTATTTTCGCGGCAAATTCGTCACCCATGACGTCATAACAGTTTGTCATCCACACGGAAAGTCTGGGAAGCTTCCATCCTTCCTCCAAAATGGATTTATATTTGTCAAAATTTTTAAAAACACTTCTTTCAATTTTTTTATTTTATTTTCCTTTTTCAGACATTATTTGGCTGTCAAGTGGAGTATCTTGTATATAAAAGAAAGAAACCATGGGCAACCCTAAAAAATTCTAATGGTATTTCTCTAATTATTTAATTTTAATATTTTTTCTGTACTAATTTTTAACAATTATCAATCTCCTATTTTTCATCAATATTTATCAAATCTTAATAGATAAAGATAGAAATTCGATTTGTTAAATCTAAACCTATATATTTGGATTATAAATCTTAATATGTAAGATTTCAAAAAACTAATGTTATATAAAATATGAATAATACTACATTATAAAATTTTACTATGTTAATGTACTATATTTTCTTATTATGTATTAAATTAAATTTTTTTTTACTTTTGAAATAATATCCCGTGCATCGCACGGGGAAAAATGCTAGTTTATTGAAAAACAAACAAAATCAATTTATTGTTGCCGTTTTTTATCTCCTTCTTTAAAATATAAACAATTATAATATACTTTAATTCTCAAATTATTCCTTTAAAATAAATTTTTTAATCAATAAGAAAATGAGAAAAAAGAAAAAACAAAGGGGGGAGTGGACCGCAAGTCAATCCACCGGCGTTGAATACAGACAGAAGTTAGACGGTGAATGTAAGAGACTGATAATACATGCATTGAATAAAGCGATCCTTATCACTGTCGTAATTGCATTATAGCCCCTCAATTATTTTTTTATTCTGAAGGAGAAGAAAAGAGCACGAGCAAAAGTACAAAGTGTGTGGGTCCAAACTCGAATTTCCAAAATTCACTCTGTGGTCACAGGTCTATCCCATGTTTTTGTTACTTATTTATTTTTGTGGTGCAATGATTTTAATTTTTTGGATAGAAAAGTCAGCTTTTTTATTGTGTCTTATTCAGGTATTTGTCTCAAAAAAATAATTGTGGTTGTATTTGATACGAAAACCTTTGAAATGTGGAGTCAATGGAATTTTTTCCACTAACTTTATGGTAAATTACAACCACATCCCTGAGGTAATTGTAATTACAAAAAAGACCCTCTTTTTTTAAGAAATTATATTTGTAAATTTCTTACGTTCATCTCCCTACAAAAGGGTATCAATGTAAGCAATCTACAAACAGGATTTTTTCCGGTAATGAACTTCACGTTAGGGGAACGATTGAAATTTAATGAAAAATTTAACAAGTTTGGAACATTTGTTTTTAGATATTATTCAATTTGAATTGGTATGTGTCCGATTTCGAACTTTAATTGATGACATAACTTTTTGATGGGGTCGTGTGAATGGTCGAATTTAGAGTTCATAGATTCGCTACTGTTGTTGGTGGGTGGTTCATGTGGAGTTTGTCATCAATTATGCAACCACCAGTCAATAATAATGGTACTATTCACTTTTGACACTTGCACGAATCTTACTATAAAATCTACATCAGATTCAATTTCTTTTAGTGGTGTTGGCCCCATTTGCTTTGAAGATGGAATTTTTTTTTTCTTTTTAATATAATCTATTTGTTTGATTGAACATGATTAATGCTTTTACCTCATTTTTTGTAATATTATATGCACAAAAAAACTAGAATTTTAATTATTTTAAAATGATGCGTAAATTACGATCACCCCTCATGTTTGGATTTTTACAACCACCCCTCTCATATGAATCTTCTTACACGCTCACGCGTACAACGTCAAATTTAGTGGAATCTTTTAGATTATGTGGAATATTCTCTAGTTTGTATCCGTCTTAGATAACATTCAACGGAATCCACAAAATTTTGTTTAATTTGACACCATAAGGGTGAACTTGTAAAAAAAATCATAATTGATGGGTGATTATAATTAACCGTAATTTACCCTAAAATTGAATGTATTTGTGGTAACGATATAATTGAAAAAATAAATAAAAATTTGTGGGACTGCATTTTTATATGGGGAAACTACAGATAAATCCCTAATCCAAAACTCAACTCACAGATCAGTCCCTAGGTAGTTTCCCCAAGCAATTCAGTCCCTACTCACGCGCCTAACATGCAGTTCAGTCCCTAATAAAATGTGCAAATACTAAAATACCCTTTACTTTATACTAATTTTACATAACTTATTTCCAACCTCCAACGCGCCGTTTGTGTTACACGCTCTTTGCCCGTTACATTTCAAAAATCAAACAACAAGAAAGAAGCTAAACAGAGAAGAAACGAAGAACAAAGAAACAACAAAGAAGAAGGAAACAACGAAGCACGAAGAATCAACAAAACGCAGAAAAATTATAAAACGAAAGGAAAAATAAAAATAAACAAACCCATTTCTCGACAATGGTGAAGCAGGGTAAACAACAAGGTTTGATTTTTTTTTTTCTTTCATTTTCTTCGAGACCCATTTGGGTGTTGCTTAAGCTTGCAAAAAGGTTTATTTGTTGTAGAATTGCATGATTTTGAACATATCCTCTCATGGGTATTATGCCTCGACTTTATTCGGTGTTTTCCCTAATCATTAAATCGATTCCAATATCTGTTTTTCTGTTGTTTGGGTTTGCAAAGATCATTTATTTGTTGTCGAATTTCATGATTTTGTAACAGTTTCCTCATGGGTATTATTCTTCGGTGACATTAGCATGTCCCCAAAGCATTTTGAGTCCTAACAAGGGTTTCATATAGGATATGGGAAAGAGGCTTATTGTAGTTTTCGTACTGGGTATGTGTCATGCGCAGTAATGGTATTAATAGTGCATTTAGATGGTATTGACACAGGGTACTCGAAGTACTGTCCCGAAAGCATTTAGTCCCAACAAGGGATATGTCATATGTAATAATGGTATTGCTCTTGACTTCAGACGGTATTAACACAGGGTACTGGAAGTATAATCTTTGATGGTTCTGTAGTATGTGTCATATGCCACAATAGTATTACTAGTGCCTTTGAATGGTATTACTAGTGACTTTGGATGGTATTGACATGTGGTACTAGAAGTCTAATGTTTGATGGTCCTGTAGTATAAGTTATATGCCATAATAGTATTACTAGTGCCTTTGAATGGTATTACTAGTAACTTTGGATGGTATTGACATGTGGAACTTTATAGTACGTTGTATTTGTTATAATTGTAGTTTTATGTGTATGTAATTGCATGAATTGATGTAAAAGAAGATTGCAGCAAGCTATCAATAGGCTGCAGGTGCTCACCGATCGCTTTTCAAACAACCATGGAAGGTGTGAAAAAAGTGATGAACAAACAACATTATGAATTACTGAAGAAAAATCCCTTCTATCACTACATGTACATGCGTAAAATAAACTACAGCTTCCATAGGGTTGTGTCTCTCATGCAAGCGTACAATGTAAAAGATCGGGCCTTCTGGTTTGGGGGAAATA